CACACACACACACACACACACACAAGCAGGCCTTAGCACAGCAGTGCCTTTTTTTTTTCCCTTCAAAAGATTTGGAGAAGGCAGAAGGACAGAGCAAAATTCGCTAGTTCTCATTTTAGGAAGTTATCAGGCGCCCTCCTCTGGCTACGTTGGAGACTAATCAACTTTCTTTTAGAACTTGGTCTATCTTGGTTTATCACACTTCCTCCTGGTTCCCCCCTCCTTTTTCAAAAAAAAGAAAGAGAGAAAGACTCACTCACTGGAAGTGGTTTGCTTGGACCTCAGGAGGAAAGCAGCATAGAGGTTGAAGTCGGTTAGGTAGCCAAAACTTCAGATTAGATCTTCCTGTGGTCAGCAACATGCAAAGGATTGATGAAAAGGAATGCCTTTGTCTCCAGATTGACAGTTTAAATGGGGGCATTTTAGTTCATTTTGTGGCAATGATTCTATTTATCGAAGACGGACTGCACAATATTTCAAGACGCAACAGGAAAGTCACATAGAAACAACACAGAGGAACAATGGGAACCAGCCAATTGTCTGAAATGGTATAGGGTCTCCAGCCAGAGGAGTGGGCTGGAGTAGAAGATTTCCAAGGTCCGTTCCAGCTCTATACTATTCTACTCTGTTCTAACCTAACCAACCTGCCAAGAGACAATTGATCTCAACGAACGTATTCCTAACCATCAGCATGACATGTAAAGGTAGTGCTTGATTTATGACCATAATTGAGCCCCAAATGCCTGTTGTTAAGTGAGTTTTTCCCCCTTTCTTGGCACTGTTGTTCAGTGAATCATTGCAGTTGATAAGTTAGTAACCCGGTTGTTAAGTGAATCCGGTGTCATCTCGTAAAGCATTCCTATGCTTCTTTTTGAGTTGCCATAATCAGGAGGGGGGGGGGAACCCTGAAGGAGTAGTACGGCAATAAAAACCAGAAGTACATTCCATTCTTATCTTACAAAGATTGTAGCCTAGGCTACTGGATCTTCTGCCCATGAAAATCCTTCATTGGAGAATGTGATTGATGACACCCAACTCGTGAAGGTGTTTCATTGGAGAATCTGATTTATGACACACCCAGGGGGACGAGGGAAACAGGGTTACAGGTGACTGTAAGTTACGTATGTCAGAGTTGGCTTCATATAAGTCAATGCCAGCATGTTGCTCCTAATAAATCTTTTGGATTCTTCTGAAGCTTGGCTCAAGGCTCATGATTTAAATAGGGCAATCGCTGGAAACCTGACATCTCAATTGCCCCATTAACATTGCTTGTCAGAAGGCCACAAAAGGGGATCACACAACCTTGGGACGTAGCAACCATTATAAATACAAGTCCATGTCCAAGCATCTGAATTTTGATCACATAATATTGGGGACGTTACAAAGGTCGTAGCTGCGAAAAAACGGTCCTCAGTCACATTTCTCAGTGTCGTTGCCGTTGAACGGTCACTAAATGAACTGTTGCAAGTTGGGGACTGCCTGTAATCGTTGATGAGCCCACATCCATGTTTTTAATATGACCTTACCCACCATCTTAGGGGCTGCGTTTGTCCTGGGAGAGGAATATAGACTTGATTTTTTTACCCTTTATGGACCTCCTCCAAACAAATTTACTTTTAACCAAGCCATGGAAACATTTTAATTACAACCGTGGACACGTAGAAATAAATATTACATTCATTCAGTTTACAGTGAATACCAGGCCAGTCTTGTTAAAATAACAATAATAATAATAAAAAAAAGAGGTCGGTCTACATTATGAGGTGGTCAACTTCCAGGAAGGCCATCCCAACACAAGAAGAGAAGTAAAATAGACAGTGTTTTTGGGTGGGTGAAAGCCCAAACCCAAACAGGGCACAAATAAAATGCAATGAGGCATTTAAGTATCCCTAACAATGATTGACGGAGCGTGTTCCCATTTCGCAAGCAGGCTGGAAATCTTCCAGAAGCTTCAATCACACAACAGGTTTAATCTTGGGGGGGGGGGGGAGGCTGAAGGAACCGATCTTCTGACTTCATACAACATCGCCAGCTATAAATTAACACCCTTGGGCTGACTTGATATTCTGGACAACACCCAAGAGACAGCTAATCAAGGTTAACACACCAAGGGAACGGCAGTCACATATATTTAACCCAGATCTGCTTCGTTGGGTTGTGCGAATCCAGCCAACCGGCCCATTGAACTAGGACTGACATTTGTTTTGAGGGAAGGAGAACCACTGAGCAGAAACTCTGGCTTTCCAGAAAAGCTGGAATGTCAGAGTTTCTGCTCAGTGGTGGTATGCTACCAGTCTGGCCCAGTTCGGCCGAACTGGTACTAAAAAAGGTCCCCAATAACAGCTGAGAGAAGAAAGAAGAGAAAAGCGCAGGATCAGCCTTCCAACCCACCCCGATGCTTTTCTCTTCTTTTATCCTCTCAGCTGATGGGCACTGCAGGCCTCAGCTGGTGTGGGGAAAGCTGCGTGTGTGCGCGATCACCAAACCGGTAGTGTTCCCACTACTGTTTCTGCTCCACTTAGAATGAACTAATTTCTGCTCCACTTAGAAGGAACCAATATTTGAGGGGCTGCTACAGAGAGGAAGGGGCCAACCTGTTTTCCAAGGTACCTGAAGGCCAGAAAGGGAATACTGAATGGATGGAAACTGATCAAGGAGAGATTCAACCTGGAAATAAGGAGGGATTTTCTGACAGTGAGAACAATCAACCCATGGAACAGAAGTTGCCTTCAGGAGTTGTGGGAGCTTCATCACTGGAGGCTTTAAAGAGGACACTGGACTGGCATCTGTCAGAAATGGTATAGAGTCTTCTGCTTGGGTGGGGGGTTGGACTTCTAGATGACCTACAAGGTCCTTTTCAACTCTATTAATCTGTTAATTTCAAGCTGATTGGTCTCCTAGGCAGGAGAAAAGGACTTTCTGGTTTCCAGATCAACTCTGTCCTCTCAAACAGACCTTTGGGTCACCTTCAAAGTAGTGAAAAAAACAAAACAACCTTCAAAGATAGACCTGGATATGGATTACACAACGCTCAATGTCAAGTGGTGCTGATTCACTACAAGGCTGAACCAACCAGGGTTGGCTGTTCTATCTACCTATTGGTGGTTAGGCTGAAGAAAGCAATGTTGTGATATCCTGACCCATGCCCTACCCCTTTTCTAATATGCATTGTGACGTCACACACAGGAGCCAAGGGGGAATGAAACATATAACACAATGCAGAGGTGTTGTTTTTGTTGTTAGTTCAGGAGAAGCTCAAGGACTCCTCTGTGTCTAGAATTTCCTTGCCAAGGCGTTCTTCTCCAAGTGGCAAGACCCTTTCAATGGATTATGTTAGTTTTGGACCAAAGGAAAGCTTTGGGATTGGAATACCTGTAAAATGAGTCTCATTTGCCCCAAATGACTTGCAGAAAGATTGTGTTGGGGAAAAGAAAGAGGGATGAGAAGGAGAGCCAAATTTTCATATGGGAATCTTCAATGATGATGATGATGATGATGATGATGATGATGATGATGAATGCAGCTGAATCCAAAAATGAGTCCGGTTTCATTCTCCTGTACAAGACGCCATCCCCATTTCTCTCCAGCTCAAAGAATGAGAAGTCAACCATGATAATTCCCTCAAGATCTCTTTAGATCTCAAGACTTTTCAAACCTTTACAAAACAGCTAAAAAGTGTACAGCCTTTTATCTCCACCACCCACTCTGATTCCTCTCTAAAAAAAAGAATACTTTGGGTTACTTTGCACTTGATAACCTCTCCAAACCCAACCTTCTGATTTATAATGACATCCTGCCTTACCTATCCACCAACTATTGCTTGGGAATTTCCATTTGACCTTAGAAACATTTGGCCTGAAGCGGATGGGACATGGGAGATATCACCTATCATCGACATCCAAGAAACTTCTTCAGCTTCTTCTCAGAGCTGAAGAAGCTTCTTGGACGAGAAGCAAAATGTCTTCAAAATAAAACGAGAAAGTCCAGTTGCCACTTGAAAAAGCACCTTTGGGACAATTGTGACCTAGATGAGTGAGAATCTCCATAGACATTAGCCAATATGCTTTAGCAAATAATAATAATGTAATGAGCTTTTATGAAAACATCCATGTAATATCATTGGCAACAATATGGAAATCATTAGCCGTTGTGTTATTACTTCCCAGGACAGTGTACAGCCTAAGAACATCTTGATGATGTTCTATCCAAAGACTAACCAGGTCCAACTCTGATTTGTTTTCTGCAATCAGTCCAGCTGGATAAGACATTGCTACCTAGCTGGGTTTATCAAATAACGTATCTGCTGGCTTATCAAAATTGGTCCCATACATTATCTACTCAGCGCCCACTCCAGTTCATGCATATATTTGTTTATTCACATATTTGAATGCATCTGAAGGCATCAAGGTGTGGCTGTTAACTCTTAAAACCCAGAGTGATGCTACATTTTGTCTTTGAGTTTCTCCAGGTAGTTCCTGATCTGTTTCGATTCTCCCAGGTCCATATCTTGGCAAACCCATTTAATGTCATCTTCGTTGCAATTGAGGATGGAATTGACGGTGGGACAGCCGTCATCTGGAGGGATGGTGGTGAACGTGGTAAATTTGACCCGCTTCCGCTTGGAGGTGGGCGAATGCAAAGGGTGTTCCTGCTTCAGGTCCCTGATTTGCTTGTCCCCCAGTTGAATTTTTGGACTGCTTTGACTCGGGAGTTTTTTGGGTGTGCCAACGAGGAGTTGACTGCCCGCATCAAAGCCTATCCCTTGGTCTATGATTGTGGTGCACTCATCTGGTGGAGGTGAGACATCTGCTGGGTTGTCCAACAACTCCATTTCATTCCCAAGCCACACCCAGTCATGAGAGTGGTTCATGGAGGTCTCCCTTTCCATGGGAAGCTGCTTGTGACGGTACTTCAATGTGAAGGTGGCACAGTTGATTAGGAAGACCAGAATGGCAAGGCAGAAGACTCCTAACAGGGCATACATCCCCGTCTCCAAGTCACTAAGAGCTCTAGGTGTCTCAACCAGGTCGCTGTCCTCCATGCCATTATTGCTTTGGGGGAGATCGATCTGAGCTGGGAAGTTGGTGAAGTCAATCGGAATGTTCTGGAGTAGACCTTCATCTGAGAGTTTATCTCCTTCAGGGATACTTTTGAACACTTTGTTTTTGGTTGTAGACTTGGCTGTCACACTAGTCTTCCTTCCAGGGCCTTCTTCTCGTTCATCAGAACAGCTTCTATAATATTGTCCTTCCTGGTCAAACACCTTCTGCCTCCGGTCACTGGCATGATTTTCAATTTCCTCAGCACTGTAATCCCCAAGACCATGAGGGTTGGCATCGTTCTGGCCAAACTTGACTTTGATGTTTCCATTGCCAACGGCTAGGATACTCTTCCGCTTGGATTTCTGGCAAGATTCAGAGATCATCATATCTACTTTGACCAGCAGGCCTTCCCCTTCCCCTTCTGCTACTACCACTGGCCATTTGACAGTAGAGCTCTGATGAGCCGAAACAACCAATTCGTCAAGCGAGGAGGCAGAGAGAGAGAAATCTCTGGGATCATAGATATCCAGTGGGGTTACAGCACCATCGCTGAATTGGATCCAGGAGCTCACCATGGCCTCCTAGTAGAAAAGAAAAGGAAGTAGTTAAACAAGGTCAAACGCCTTCTGCCTTCTGAGATGTACGTTGAACATCTTGCTAGTTTTCTCAGAAAATGGACCAGTAAAAAAGAAAACACTTCGGATGAGTTAGCCCTTTGAGACAGGCCAGACAAGAAGCAGAGTGATGAACACCAGCTCTACCTTGGCAAAAAAGAACAAAATCGTAAACTACAACCACATGACAGAATCAAGAGCGGATGAAGTTCTAGTACCACTTTATAAAGCCTTGGTAAGACCACACTTGGAATACTGCATTCAGTTCTGGTCCCCACAATATAAAACAGATGTGGAGACTCTGGAAAGAGTGCTGAGAAGAGCAACAAGAATGATTGGGGGCTTGGAGGCTAAAAAATGAAGAACTTTACAAGAATTGGGTATGTCTACTCTAATGAAAAGGACTAGGGGAGACATGGTAGCAGTGTTCCAATATTTGAGAGGCTCCTACAAAGATGAGGGGGTCAAACTATTTTCCAAAGCACCAGAAGGCAAGACAAGAAACAGTGTATGGAAACTTGCCAAGGAGAGAAGCAACCTAGAACTAAAGAGGAATTTCTTAATGGTAAGAGCATTCAACCAATAGAACAGCTTGCCTTCAGAAATTGTGGGTGCTCCATCACTGGAGTCTTTCAAAAAGAAAGTGGACAACCATTTATCTGAAATGGTATAGCGTTGTGATGGGGAACCTATGGCATGCGTGCCACATGTGGCACACAGAGCCATTTGTGCCGGCACGCGAGCTGCAGGTAAACTTACCTCACTGTGCATGCATGCGCATCACAGCTGATTTGGGCTGGTTTAAGGCCTTTTTCAGACTCCCACAGACTTCAGAAAGGCTTCTGCAGGCTTCTGCAGGCTTTTCAGGCTGAAAACTAGACCCGTTTCATCACTTCCTGTTTTTCCAGAAATACCGGAAGTGATGAAACACGCCTAATTTTCATCCTGAAAAGCCTGCAGAAGCCTTCCTGAAGCCTCTGGGAGGCCAAAAAAGGCCTCAAACCAGCCAAAACTCAGCTGTGAGGCGCATTGCAGATAAGGGGGCAGCGGGGTGTGGGTGTGTGGGGACTGTGCACGCATGCATAGGGGCCATGGGGGGAGCACACATTGCCTTCTGGGTGCTGGCACGCAAGCATTTTTGGCACAGGAGCCCAAAAAGGTTAGCCACCACTGGTATAGCGTATTCTGTTTGAGCAGAGGGTTGGATTAGAAGACCTCTAAGATCCCTTCCAACTCTATTATTCTATGTTCTATGACTTTTCTAAACCAGCTATCAAGTGCCTGAATTGTGATTTGTGACCTCAGGGATGATGCGACCTCTTGCGTTTGTCCTAAATATGAATCACGGCTCAACGGTTTGGACTCAAATTGTTTGGGACCCAACTCAATTCAAATTCAGAACAGAGCTGGAAGGGACCTTGGAGGTCTTCTAGTCCAACTCCCTGCTCTAGCAGAAGACCTGTACCATTTGAGACAAGTGACTGTCCAGTCTTTCCTTAAAAACCTTAAGTGATGGAGCACCCACAACTTCTGAAGGCGGCTTCCATTCCACTGGTTCATTGGCCTCACTGTTAGGAAGTTTCTCCTTAATTCCAGGTTTTGGAATTATTGCCACTGATTAATAATTAATAACAATTATTATAGTTGAGTCCAGGCGTGGGCTGCTGGGCGTTCGCAGGGGTTCAGGAGAGCCCCTAGCTAAGATTCTGGGCAATTTAAAGAATCTCCAAATCCCACTCATGGCTGGCCCCGCCTACCCTGTCCCACCCCTCTCAGGAGTCCCCACGTGGCCCGTTTTGGATGCAGGTAAGTGCAGGGCACACGGGGAGCCTTGCGGAGGGCAAAAACCGGGCCTCTTGGAAGTTCAGGAAGGCCAGAAATGGGCCCGTTTCTGGCTTCCAGAGAACCTCCGGAGCCCAGGGAGGCCATTTTCATCCTCCCGGAGGCTCAAGAAAAGCCTCCGGAGTCCGGGGAGGACAAAAACGCCCCCCCCCCCCCCCGGGGGCAGGGGGCCGACTAGGCCACGCCCCCCATGGCCACGCCCACCCAGCAACTGGGCAGAGAACCCGTTGGTAAAATTTTTGAAGCCCACCCCTAGTTGAGTCCCAATTACTACTGGGGGTTCCAACTGCTTCCAAGACCTCAGATCACCGCTAAAATAGATAGTTAGGAAGTCAAGGACTTCCCAATCGATGTTTCCCAAGTTACTCTTTGCAACTCTTTATTTTCTCAAGCTGTTATTCTGTTCTGGCTTTGAGGTTCATGGATCTGGTGAAAGCCTGGCCAAGCATTCAAGGAGACTGTTGTTTCCTGACACAAATTAGCTGTAATGGGAAAGGAGAAGGGAGAGTGCTTTTTTACAGGGCTGGAATGCTTAATCAATAGGTCCGATCAATAAATCTGATACTTTTTTAAGCAATGCAGAAGGGAGCCGTTTAGCTTAATGGTCCTCAAGGGTTATTCTACTTTCCAGGTAGGAAACAGCCAGAGGGGAGGGGGAAAAAAATCTCTCTTCTAAGAGGATGTGTCCCTTGACGCAAGCATCATTTAAACATGAGAGTGGTCTTTTCTTCTTCTTTGGAACAATTGGTACAAATGTATTACCCATTTAGATTAAAAGGTTTTACAACTGCCTTGGGAAGAACATGTCTGGACCTCCATGGGGGTATTTGTGAAGAAGTAAGCTTTTAGACGGGGCCATAAAGTAAGAAGATGTAATGACTCTCCCCATTTCAGGAACAGTTTCATTTCTCCATTCCTCTATTTTCCACCGCATTTCTTTGATAATAAGGGCTCATGGGTTTAAAGATGAAGCAATATGCTAAGATTCTGGAGGGCTCAGCGTACGCCCAGAGGTGGTATTCAGCAGGTTCTAACCAGTTTTGGAGAACCAGTAGCAGAAATTTTGAGTTTGGAGTACCGGCCAATAGCACCTCTGACTGGCCCCGCTCCCATCTATTCTCTGCCTCCCATTGAGTCCCAGCTGATCGGCTGGGTCTTCTTTGGTTGCCCTGCACAGGACAACGGAGCTGGAAAGCAGGTTAATGGGGTGGGGATGGAATGGGGATTTTGCAGCCATGCTCACAGGACTGGTAGTAAAAAAAAATGTGAATTCCACCACTGGAAGAAAGAGAGGAACGAAAGGGGAAGGAAGAGAGAAAGGAAAGGGGAAGGAAGAGAGGAATGAAAGGGGAAGAAAGAGAGGAAGGAAAGGAATGGAAGAGAGGAAGGAAAGGGGAAGAAAGAAAGGAATGAAAGGGGAAGAAAGAAAGGAAAGAAGGGAAGGAAGAGGAACAAAAGGGGAAGGAAGAGAGGAAGGAAAGGAATGGAAGAGAGGAAGGAA